GTGTGTGTGTGTGTGTGTGTGTGTGTGTGTGTGTGTGTGTGTGTGTGTGTGTAAGAGCCAGCCATTGAGTTCATGTCAGAAATAGTCCTTGTTCCCCTTACTAGGAAACCCACCTGGATACTGAGCTATCATGGGCTATATCCAAGCAGGCGTTCTAGATTATATCCATACATGGGCCTTGGTTGAAGAAACAGTCTCATAAAAGACCCTTGTGCCCCGATTTATTTGGTCCTTGTAGACCTCCTGTCCTCTCCAGGTCTTACTAACTCCCCCTTCTTTCATAAGATTCCCTGCACTCTCCTATAAGATAGGATAAACATACTGAAATCTATACACCTCAAGAAGATAAAAAAGGAGGACCTGGGGTAAGATGAGCAATCCTCACTTAGAAAGACAAATGGAATGGACATTGGACATAGGAGAAAACAAGTAACAGGACAGGAGCCTACCTCATAGGGCCTCTGAAAGACTCTACCTAGCAGTGTATCAAAGCAGATATTAAGACTCATAACCAAACCTTCGGCAGGTACTGATCTTACAGAGGACTGCAGTTTGATTCCCAGCACCCACCTATGTCAGATGGCTTACAACCCCAGCTCCTGGGGATCCAAAGTTCCTGTTTTCACCAGCTCTCATGTACACATATCTCCAACACACTTATTTATAATTAAGATGAAGGTAAATCTCTTTTAAAAAGTCTTCAAGTGTCTTTGCATATTATATTTTCTTTTACCATAGATGGGTCTTGTAATGATGCCTCAAACCTAGTGATAGCCAATAGAGATAATGACAGAGTGGCTGAGATAAAACAGTTAGCAATCATGCTGTTCTTCCTTTGTGTTTCCAGACAATAGCCAGGCAGTTGGCAGAAATCTTGTTACGGGGCATGTGTGAGCAGAGCTACTGGAACCCTCTAGAAGATCCTCCCTGCCAGTCACCTCTGGATGACCCTCTCCGGAAAGGAGCAAACACCAAAACCTACACACTCCCTCGCAGAGCCCGTGTCTACTCAGGAGAGAAGTATGGACTTGATGTCCTCAGCTGGGGACCCTGGCATGGGAAGGGGATGTGGGAATGTTTGGGGGCAAGGAGAGAAGCACAGGTGGTTGACCATGTGAAATCAGGTGAGCGCGGTAATGGAGCAGTTCAGCAGAGTGCGCCAACCCTGATGACAGCTCCAACAGAGGAGCGTGAGGGCAGCACTCTCCTCCCCGTGTGTGCCTTCTTCCTCAGCTCTCTGCTGTCTATGTCACTCTGTGAGATCCTCTCTCCATTTATCACAAGATCCCCAGCATCACGCAGCAGTCAACAGCCACTGTTTATAGCAGAGCCAAATAGGCATTCATTTCTTCAGCAAGTTCTCCATCTTTAAAAATAATAAAACCTTAGCCAAACCATGAAAAATTTGCCAGTGGTTGGAAGGAGATGTCTTTCTAAAGAAGTTCTAAAACTTCTTTATTTTTGTAAAATTTTAATTTGGGACCTGGTTTCCTTAGAGGAAAATGGGTCAGAGAGCTACTGCCTTCTTAGACCTGAACCTTTCCTGGTCAGGAGGCTATAAGATGGAAAGACAGGGGAAGAGCTGGGAGAAGGCCCCTCAGAGCCCCGAGGTTCCCTCTCTGCCTGTTGCTTAAGGACAAGGCCTCATGGCCTTTCCAAATCTCTACAAAGAGAAAGGGGATGCTAGTGTGTGGGTGGGACCTCCTTCGGTGCTATCACCCTGTCAGGCTGCTAAGAGATTGCACACGGCTGCTCTGGAAACCCTGGAGAGCACGCTGGGGGGTAGGCCAGCCACCTGGCTTCTGGCTCCTTGTGTGACATCTGAAAACCATGTTGCATCTTCTGAGGATCCAGTTTTCTTGGGTCGGCTGCTTCTTGTTCCTGAGCTGACCCCTGGCCTCTCTTTCCCTCATAGTCATCTTATTCAGTTTGCGTTTCTTGTGGGGATTTGGACAAGGGACTGCATTCCTGACTCTTTCCTCACACTCATCTAATTTACTTTTTGGTCTTCACTTTTCCAGCCAAGCTGAACCAGTTTGCCTGACTTATAGGTGTGCATCCTCCTCAGCCCTTGTCTAGATTCATGAAACACCTGTTCTGGCAGTCCCCTAACTCACTGTGAAGTGCCAACTCCCTTAGGAAGGGCTATCCAGAAGCAGATTTAACACTGAAATTTTAAGTGATATTTTTATGTCTTCAAACAAAGTCTAGGTTTGTTTCCCACGTTAGAAGTTTCTTAATGGCCTAGGTTCCAGGTACGCAAAGGATCTTGGTCACTGTCCTCATCTAGTGACACCTGGAGTTCTGTCCCAGTATGGCCTTGCCTCAGAGACAGAAACTCTCATAGTTCACTGGTGTCTTTGGTGTTTCTCAAGATGTTGGCCTTGTCACTCTTGTGACACCACTCCGATGTCAGCTTCCTATTCATGTAAGGAGAATTCTGGGAGAATTCCCACACCATGTTACAAGCTTAATTTTATAGACACACACTCTCACACACACTCTGTTTGATTTCCACTAGTTTTATTGGCTGTAATTCACATAGTGTCCATAGTGTCCAGCTCACTGACTTGGAATGTACATTCATTGGCTTCCAGTACATACATAATTAGGAATGCATCACCAAAGTTGAGTTGAAATGCTCCAAAAGTAATACCCAATACTTGATAGCTGCCACCCTTCTTCAGTCCCTTAAGTCCCCATGCATTTTTGGATCCACTTGTTCATTTCTGCCAGAAACACATTTTTAAAAGCACTGGTTATATGTCTTTCCCCCCTCCTTTGCTGGAAGGGGATGTGTGCCATTTAGTTTATATTGTAAAAGATACAATTTGGAGTCATTTGGGAAGAGAGAACCTTATTGAGCAATATTCTAGATCAGACTGGTCTGTGGGCATATCTCTGGAATAATGTCTTGAGGGCTAATTGATGTAGGCAGGCCTAGCCCACTGTGGGTGGCACCATCCCTATGCAAGTGGACATGACTGTAAAAGGACTTAGCTAAGCATGAGCCTGTGAGAGAGTGAGCCAGAGAATAAGCCAGCAAACAGCCTTCCTCCATGGTTCCTGTCTCCAGGTTTCTTCCTTGAGTTACTCCCTTGACTTTCCTCACTACTGGACTGTGACCTAGGACTTGTAAGATGAAATAAACCCTTTCCTCCTTAAGTTGCTTTAGATTGTGCTTTTTATCACATCAACAGAGAAGCAAACTAGAACAGGGTTCTGGGGGTAGAACCCAGACCCTTGCATAGAACACTAGACAGTACTGTACTGTTTACTCATATCTCAAGCCCCATAATTTCTTTTTGGTGCTATTATAAGTGGAATTATTTTTTAATTTCAGTTTAAAAAATTTCAACCCACTTTTAACTTTTTATAAATTTTAATAATAATATATTCTTTTTCAGTTTAAAATTATATAATTTCATATAGTGTAGGGATTTTTGTTGCTGTTATTGTTGTTGGTTTGTTTTTTGTTTTGTTTTGTTTTGATTTTTTTGTTTTTTCCAGATAAGGTTTCTCTGTGTAACAGCCCTGGCTGTCCCGGAACTTGCTTCATAGACCAAGCTGGGCTTGAACTCACAGAGATCTGACTACCTTTGCCTTCTTAGTGCTGGAGTAAGACATATGCCGCCATGCCTGGCTAGCATATAATGTGTTTTGATCATATTCACACATGCCCCAGAATCCTCCTAGATACACCTGTTCCCTACACACCCAACTTTGTGCCATCTTTTTTTTTTTTTTAAGCTCAGCAAGTCTAGTTTGTGTTACCCATATGCTCCTGGATGTGTGGCTTCCCACCGGAACATGGTTAACACACCAAGGCCACACCTGAAAGAAAACTGACTGTCTTCTTCCCAGCAGCTATCAATTACCGGTAGCTCCTTAGGCATGGGACTTCATGCTCACCTCAGTAATTATACTTTACTATTAACACAAAGATGATAAAAGTTGATGTAGGCCTTTGTGTATCAATTAGACACCAATATGGCCTCTTCTGTTCATTCTTAATTTTATTTTATAACTATTCACTGCAAGTATATGGAAGAAACATTGATTTTCTGTGTTGATATTGTATATTAGAACCTTGCTGAGTTTGCTGATTATGTCTCTTAGGTTCCTTAGGCTATTCTGTCATCTGTAAATAGATAATTTTACTTACTCCATTCAGAGCTGGGTGCTTTTGGTTTCATGTTCTTCCTTAGATGTATGGATAGACCCTCCGTTACGATGTGAATAGAAGTGATGAGAGAACATCCTTTTCCTGTTCCGATCTTAAGACAAGACAAGCATCCAGTCTTTTGGGTTAATGCCTGTGTTTGCTGTAGATTGCCTGTGTGGGACTGGCAACACTTCCTCCTGCTCTAGGCTGTTGTCTTATCATGGTGTCTTTGCTGCATTTGTTTGGCTAACTTGGGGGGGTTGTTCTTTATTGTGCATTTCTCTCATAGAGTTTCAGATGTTAAGCCAGCCTTGCATTCCTGGGATAAATTCAATTAGGTCATAGTGTATAATTTCTATTAGGTCATAGTGTATAATCTTTTAAAATTTGTTTTTGGGTTCTATATCTTTGTTGGCAATTTTTATACCTACACTCCCAAAAGATATTGTTCTGTAGTTTTCTTATAAAACCCTTGTCTTTCGGGGAATCTGGTTAATTTTAGTCACATAAAAGGAATTAGGGGTTATTGCTTATCCTTTTATTTAAAAAAAATGAACTTGAAGAATTGGTACTAATTGTCTTGAACTATCAGGTAGGATTTACCACAGAGCATCTGTCCTTGGCTTTTCTTTGAGGGCATCAACTTAAGCTCTTTGTTATGTTTCCTCAAGAATCCGTCTTAGTGGTTTGCATCCTTCTTTAAGTTTGGCTGTCTCATCAGTCATCTAATTATCACCATATACTTACTTAGTTAGCCATGTTTCTTTTTTCTGCAGAACTAGTTGTTGCATTCCATTTTTTCTTTGGCTCTTTTCTGTCTCTGGGGGATGGGAGCAGGCTCCCTAAAAGCCTGTCACTTGTTTATCTCTTTAAAGAACCAACTTTCTGCTTTGTCTATTAGTCTGTTCTGTGTTTTATTAATTTCCACACTAATCAGTTTTTAGCATGCTGATTCTGTATGAGCATTCTCTTTTCTTGTTGTTTTTTTTTTATAATTTTTTATTTTTATTCACTTTTCATCCAGTCATAGTCCCCTCCCTCCTCTCCTCCTAGTCCCATCCTCCCTCCCTCTTTCCATTCTTCCCCCCCTTCCCTACTCCTCACAGAAGGGGAACCCCACCCACCCACACCTTTATATTAAGTTTCATCAGGACTGAGCTCATCCTCTTCTCCTGTGGCCTGGCAAGGCAGCCCTACCAGGGGGAAGTGATTGAAAAGCAGGCAACAGAGTCTATATCAGAGACAGTCTCCATTCCCCTTACTAGGGATTCTATATGAGAACCAAGTTGCCTATCGGCTATATCTATGTGGGGTGCCTAGATCCAGTCCATGCATGGCCCTTGGTTTGTGCTTTAGTCTCCACAGGACCCCCTGAGCTCTGGTTAGTTGGCCCTTTGGTCTGCTTGTGGAGCTCCTGTCCCCTCTGAGTTCTTCTATCCTTCCCCTGCCCCACATTCTTCCACAGGACTCTGCTTCACCCAGTGTTTGGTTGTGGATCCTGGCATCTGTTTCCATTGGGTACTGGGTGGAGCCACTCAGAGTACAGCTATGCTAGGCTCCCATCAGCAAGCATAGCAGAGTATCGTTAATCGTGTCAGGGGATTGGGGCTGTCTCCCATGGGCTGAGTCTCGGGTTGGGCCGGTCCCTGGTTGGACATTCCCTCAATCTCTGCTCTATTTTTGTCCCTGCACATTTTGTAGGCATGGTAAATTTTGGGTCAATTTTTATGGGTGGGTTGGTGTTTCCCTTTCTCCACGAGGAGTTGTGTCTAGTTAGAGGGTGGATTCTTCAGTCTCCGTTACTCGGAGTCTCAGCTCGAGTCACGCTCATACCCTCTCAGGAGCATACCCTGTC